TTTTTTTCACTTTTAATTTTGTTATGCATTAAGTTGGTGTGTTTATTTTTGAGATATGGGACCAGAGAGATCCCATAAATACTTATTGAGTTGTGAATAAAAGATAAGTACATCGTTTGAACGATATTTTGTTTTGATTGTTTTAATTGGGTATACTATCGCCTACGTCACAGATTGTGTTATTCCTACTAAATTTAACCAGTGAACGGCATTTTCTGCGAGCCTGACTTCAAGCCACAAATAAACAAACGAAGTGTTCGATCTTTTAAATAGCTGCTTGCCAGATTATATTGTATTTGTAATAATTGATTTTGTTGTTTCATCTAAATAAGTTAATGTTTTTAGTAAACATATTTAAAACTCAGTTTATTAATTGAATTAAGTTTTTTTTTTCTCTTCTGACAACGTGAGACATCAAACCAATTAATCTTAACGGACATCATTCTATAGAATCCATATTTTTTTAAAAATCAATGTTTTCAAATCAAATTAAATTAGCGCATGTAAAATATTAAACAACAACCACTATCTTCCATTCATTTAGTATTGCACGATAATAAATGTTATTCCTACTAAAATGTTCGAAGTGGAAGTAGTTGTGTTTTTTTCATATTATACCAAGACATGAAAGAGACATGAAAATCAGTGTAGCATAAGCATTATTAGTTAAAAAAAGTTGTGCGAGACATAAAATTTAGGCTAACAGAAGTATTATTAATAAAAATGATTTGTACCAGTCATAAAAAAAAGCTATCATAAGCATTAATAAAAGCTGAGCAATAAGATAAAATTATAAAAAAGAAGATAATTTTGGAACTTCATGTAGCTGATTGTTTTCCCGACTAACTTTTTTATTTTTGCCAGCGTGCTTTTCTTTATGTCGTTACTAGTATTCATTTAACATATTCTGTTCTTTTTATGATTAACTTATTTATAATTACAGTCTTGGTTAGTGAGTTAAACATAAATATGAATACTGTGTAAAAGAAAAATAATTCTCTGACGTCTTAAGAAACTTATATTGACTGGAATTAAAAACCAATCTTGCCCATTGGACTACTAGAAGACGCACATTAATTTATGCAACTTTTGCAAACCATCAATTAGAATGTTATAGCGTTTATAACAATCTATCCAGAAAAAAAAATCGACTAATGGGGAACCATAGTGTTCGCAATAATGAGAATAATTTTCTCTCTTTTGTAATTAATCGTCATTATATTTTTTTGCCTTTTTTTTAAATCTTTTTTTTTTAATAAAAAAAATAGTAATCTTCAGTTTTCTTAAAATATTGTATTTTAAAAACATGAAAGTATCAAGCGTTCATCGAAATATTTTAAGCTCTTTTAATTATATTTTTAGTATTTTTTGAAACAAATTTTAAACACACCAAGTTGAGGTGTGAACTCAAAGATCATTAAATATCTAGGATATTAATTTCCATACATTTTACATTTTTCTAATTCAATTTTGCTAACGAAAAATTGTATTGTTTTTGTTTAAATTTTTTAAAACTGTATTTTTTTCTTTAATTATGTAACCACCAAATGAAAATTTCAGGTTCGATAAAAGAAGGAAAAATATCAGGTACGAAAAATACCAAGCATCACAATGTATTTCATAAAAAAAGTAATAACTGTCAAAAATATAAACATCACATGGTTAAAAAAAAGTACATTTATTGTTAAAGTTCTTCGTGTGGGGTGGCTCTGTAGGGGGGTTTGGGTATTTGAAAATCATCATCAGCTGGTGGTGTGAAGCTTCTCCTTGCTGCATCATTCAGCTGCTGCTGCGCATCATCCACCGAGAATCCATGAGGCTTCATCTGTAACAACATTCATTAAGTGACACACATTCAACACTAAAACTATACTTTTTACGATTTCCTTCTTTTTATGTGTGTACTGTATGCTTAAACATCACAAAAAAATGTTTAAATATATTAATATAAATGTAAATTAAGTTATAAGAGGAAGTTATATCACAAGAAAAACTTTTTATGACTAATTCTGTTTTACCTCCATTGGTATTTTAAAATTTAAAGTTTAGTGAAAATTGACTTAAGTAAATCTTGAAGAAAAACCCTTGTTGAAAAAATATTTTTAAAATATCAAAGGGAAAACAAATTAGTGCAAAAGAACTTTCCCACTATTTAATTCAAAGTTATCCATTTTCAAAGTTATCCATTAATTCAAAGTTATCCGGTATAATGTCCTTTTAAGAGGACATTGTAACATTTTTTTAAATTTTCTTTATTGCTAGCTGGTTTCTCATTCTTTGAACGGGGTGGAAGGAAATAAGCAATCAATACATCAGTACTGAAGAACACTACGAAATCGTGCCTAAAACTAAAAAACCAATGCAATTATTGAAGTTAAAATAAAAATCTCAATTTTAAATTAACTTTTTATATTTTGACCTTACATAGAACATTTTTTTAATTGTATTATTATCTAATAACAAATTTAATTAAGCATCATTGGTTTGGCGCCAGTAAGAGTATAGCTGTTGTCAACCGAATTTTATGCAAAGACATCTAAACTTCCCTGCTGGTTATTTATTCCTGGAGATTAGTAACCACAACAAGAAGAAGTGTATGGCGTAGGTTTCTCCTACATCAATTTGTACTATCTCTCCATCAATTTTGCTTTTCAAAAGTAACTTATAATCTTTTCATTACAATTATAATTAGTCTAATAGATTTTCGCTTTAAAAACTGTAAACAAAATAAACACGTGGTTTCAAATAACATAAGAAATGAAAACTTGGTGACGTAATCTACCAATCCAATGCTATCATGTTCATGCTTATCATTGAGTTAATCTCACATAACGAATTAACGTTATTCGTTATTTAAGATAAGCGATAAGTTTTTTTTGTTTTGATCAAATAGTGCTATAAGTTAGTGAATATCACTGAGGTAATGTTTAAAATATTTGAGTTTAAGAAAATCGTTTGCAGCCTATCATTTTTATCAATAGCGAACTCTAAACCAATAAAAAAAAATTCCGTTTTTGACATGATTCTATACCGTTTGCTCTAATTGAAAATTTCGAATTTGAGGATTGAGGACTAAATTTGTCCGTTGCAGCCGTTGTTCAAATTTTAGGATGATGAAACGAACTGTTTTGGTGTTAGAATAGAGACATTTTCTTCATTTTATTATAGATACGTTTCGAAACTCAAGTCAGTTTTCGATTAACTCCGAAACGCTCTACAAAGTAAACAACTTAATTATTTCAATGCATGGAAATTCTTTGGATGTGAAAGAATGAAGAATCTTCTTAAAAGTCATCTGAGAAAAATTATTTAATTTTTTTTCTTCTTCGTAACGAACTTTCTACGAAGACATTTTTAGAAACTACATTTGTTTAATTAAACGTGATTATTTTTAAGATTTTTTTACTTTTACTTTTAGAGCCTATTATTCTAGATTTGCGTTGCTATGGTAACCGTTTCTATAAATGATTTTTGATATTGCCACAACTGAGGGGGAAAAGTGATGGCGTATTTGTGAGTATACTCATAAAGGTGTATTATATAAAGATATGCATCTAAAGAAAGAGAGAGAGAGAGAGAAAACATGGAAAATGTTAAAGATTAATGAAAAGAGAAGAAGAAAAATTATTAAAATAAAATATTTTTAAAAGAAATATTAAAAAGACGGAAAATAAGAAAATTAAAAATATAATCTCTTCATCATCTTACACGATTATATCCGCAAAAAGAAGTGCTTTCTAATATTGTATCAATATAGCCAAAGCAAAATATATCAATACAATAGTGTAAAGAGCACTAAAAAAATTTTAAAAAAAACTTTTTTTAATATTTTATTTTATTAATTTTTCTTTTTTCTTTAATATATATATATATATACAGTAGAACTCCAATTATCCGAACTCCAACTATCCGAATCGTCGATTATCCGAATCTCTTTCATAATTCGTATGGAAATATGAAAATATAGTAAAAAGATAAGCTTCTCTTTTTTTATATGAATAAAATAAAATTTTAGTAAAGTCAAGGAAAGATTTATGCAGAGAAAGTTTACAGGATAAGACAAAGATTTGTGGAAAAGCTAAGATCTTTGCTGAAAAGCTGGGTTATTTATCTTTCAAAGCAAGTAACGGCTGGCTAAGGAATTTTAAGTCTAGGCACGGTATTCGTGAGCTAGATTTAAGTGGTGAAAAGTTATCTGCAGACTCTAAAGCTTCTGACGAGTTTATTGAAACATTTAAAGTTATAGCAGCCTCATACGATTCCGACTTCTTATACAACGCCGATGAGTCTGGTCTAATATGGAAAGCTTTACCCAAAACTACTTTAGCCTCTAAAAGAGTGCAGTGCCAAAGCCTCCTAGTGCTCCAGGGCATAAAGCTAGTAAAGACCGCGTTACTGTGCTTAACTGCCCGAACTCAACTGGGAGCCATAAAATACCCCTTCTGTTAATAGGGAAGTCAAAACGCCCAAGAGCATTTAAAAATGTCAAAAAACTTCCCCTATTTTATAAAAACCAATACAAAGCTTGGATGACTGCAGCACTGTTTACAGAGTGATACGATGNTATATATATACAGAGAGATATATATATGTATATGATATTTATATATATATGTATACAGAGAGAGAGAGATAGTGAGCACAACTTTTCAATTATGTTCGACCAACAGGAATTGCAATATACCTCACTATCTTTTGTGGGTCGCCTCACTCCTTCGCATGCATTGATTGTATTTTCACAGAATTCTTCTTGTAAAGGTAAATTATCAGCTGTCTTGAACTTTCTATAAAACTCTGTCAGACTTTCAATAAGTTCTTGCTTATGAGAATCTAAAAAGAAGAAATACATGCGAGCTTAAAATTAAAATACCACTCGTGGGATATTAATTATCAATCTAACAATTAAAACACCGAATTGTATTTCCAATTCCCTACAGAATTGAAAATGTTTTATTGATTAGTTGTTTATGAATAATTGCCACTTTCCTGCGAGGCACAGTTGGCATACACTATGCAACATATACATCATCAGAAACCTTTATTAATATACAATGCGCAAGGAAAAAAAACGGACCACCCTGAAAAACTTTTGATCCCTGATAAACTAATGATCGGTTCTTCATGCTCTATGTCTCAATCTTAATGGTTCAAGGAAGTGATCTCAAATATGCTTGGAAGGACTCAAAGTACATCAGCAAAACAGAACATGTTGTCTTTATGAAATTTTATTGAGAAAGGGTAAAGGTATATTACACACAATGGTTTTATACGACTTTCAGCGCCATCTGTTGGCGTTAATTTAAATCGAGAGGAACATTAGTGACGGAACAATGCTATTAGTGCAGACGATATTTTAAGTCACAAAATCATAGATGAACTTACATTTTCTCAAAACGAATGTCCCTTTTATTCGAATGTCTTGAATTTTGACCCTCAAAGTTAGGGGAATATTGTTTCAATAGTTTGGTCTAAAGAGAGGTTCAAAGTTTGAACCCCTTAATGTTAATTTTATTTTTTGCGTATTTTGCCTTATCTCCATGTAAATTGAAACCTTATTGCACACAATTATGAATCTCGTTTATCCAAAGATAATTCAATTCAGAAAAAAAATTTTAAGTAAATATTTATTATTATATTTAATAACAGTGGAAGAGATTTTGAATTGTTGGAAACAATTTTTTACATAATTTTAAAAAATGTAAAATAAAAAATTTGAATGAAATCGGTCAAATAGTCTCTAGATAATCAAATTTTAAAATAGTTAAAAAGTTAAATTTGGTTGCATAGTTCCTAAGAAATCACATTTTTAAAAAGTCGTAATTTTCGAAGCATGCTAAGTTTGGCGATGAAGTCTACATAGCCGCAAGCTATTATAATGATATTATAACTAACTAAACCCCTAAAAAAGCAAACAAGAGGAAACATCTCTTACACTGAATTCAGTAACTCTTCAAAGACTTGACCATTTGCCCTGATAGACTATCCTTTATTTCTCGTACAAGATAAAGGATCCCTCCAATGACAGCCTGCGAGACCTGCTCATTCCTTTAAAAGAGATGTTGTTACTGGTTCGAGAATCAAAGTGTTCCCTCTTTTATTAGTGATTCAGTGGGATTTCATTTTATTTTAACCTCTTTGGCGGAATGAGAGCACTCACGCGAGTTTATGCGTACTAAAGAGTACGCATACGTGCTAATACGAGACTACCATACTGAGATGATGGCCTCGTTGCGCTGAGATCACGAGCGTTGTTGGCGGAGAATTTAAAAGAAAAAAAACGAACTCACCTACAATATAATTGCAAGCTTTTATCATTTTGGGTGGACTAAATGTGTAGGAAACAAATTTATCGATTTTGCAGAGATTGTTGACGCTTTGAGTGACTGCATTTTTCCTTCCCGAGGAATTCTTCAGTTCCTTGTGCAACTCTGCAAAATAAAACACTTTGGATCAATATAAATCACAAATAATCAAAATAATGAGTTTGTTCTTAAGGCAATACATTCGGGAAATTTTTCTGTTGACAATTACAATTGAATGAAGTACTGAGTAATATTTTAAAGAGTGTTCAGAAAACTGTTGTCGCAAAACAACTTTAAAAAAAGAAAAAGAAAGATAGAGTTAGTTAATGTAAGTTGTAAAATAAAACAAGTAATAAATTTCAAAATATTAATAATGTGAAATTACCGAAAAATAGTATACCGTTTAATTTAACTGGAAATGAGTAAGTATTGATCAGTTACAAATGGGAACAGTGTATTGGGTACTGTGTATTATTTACAAAAACCTGATGTTTTGTAATATCAGTTTTAATTTATGTAGTTGAAGAAAAATTATAAATTTAAATTTCGTTTTGTTTTAAAATCTATATGTTGTTTCTTCAAATTTTTTTTGTTGTTGGTTACTTTGAAAACTTTACAATTTTGTCCTATAAATGGAATAACAAATTATTTTAATTGAACAATTCTGTCCTACAAATAGAATAACGAATAATTTTAATTGAACTCAAAATTCCAAATATTTTAAGTAAAATATCACAATAGTCATGTGTTTATTATTTTCAATGAAGTTGTAAAAATATAATTAATCTATGAATGCAAAATGTTACAAAACTGACAAAATTTCGTATTATATTTTTTTTGTTCAAATCATTACATTTACTTTAACTATCTATTTTTTTATGGTTAAGGTAAATGTAATGATTTAAACAAAACATTTTTTGTTAGTTTCTTGACAACTTAATCAGCAAAAGAATATAAATACTTGCCCTGTAAAGAAAAGTACTTTGATAATCAAACTAAAATCCATTGCCGTTCCTCAAATTTGCTCTTAAAAATCATTTAGATGAAGCTATTATTATTTTTTTCTTATTACTCGTATGCCAGCGCATGAAAAATAACAAATAGTTCGCAACTAGTGTCAAAATGTTAATTAGGGAAAAAAACTTCACTTAAAGACAATAAAACACGCTTAAAAAATTACAATAACTCAATTTACAATAAATATTTGTGAGTCTTTCACTATTTTTCAAGTTTAACGGAAAAAAAAGGTATGAAAATTTGATAGGGGTAGTTTAATATATTACGAAAATGTAACATTATAATGCAAGACGACTGTAACCTTATTGCTCAACTATTTAGTCCTTTGAACTGAAGCGTTCTTCCTTTTCGGTTACAATCCGTTAATACAGTGCTTCCCAAATTGTGGTACGCGTACCCCCACGGGTACGGGAACAGTTTAGCTGGGGAACGCACTCTTATGCGAATATCTTACAACAAAAGAACATTTCAAAAAATTTTATTTAAAAACAAAGCTCTCCATGAAAATTTACAATTAAGTATTTTTCTATTGGCTATTTTTTGCTGAGTTAACAGTTAATAATTAGTATTGTTAAAAGAAAGTTGTAATTTTTAACTTTTGTGCAATTTTTTTATAGTAAAAAAATGCATTAATTTTTTTTATTAGGGTACACAGCGTTACGAAAAATTTAGAAAGGGTACACAAAAGTCATAAGTTTGGGAAACACTGCGTTAATAAACTCCGAAAAAATTTAGTTTTCAAAGTTACAAAATAAATAACGCTTCTAATCTGAATTTAAGAACACGAAATAAGACCTTATAGTGTATTTGTAATTAGGTTTAACAATGGCGAATAATGCAGCACTGATTAAGTAAATAATAATTTTGGAAATAATAAAAAATTTACTTTTTATAAATTTTAAATGAACTTCTGTCTAAAAACAATGAATATATAAAAATGAATATGTTCTCATTTTTTTCTTTAATTCCTTCGAACACTCTGTTTTTCATTGAAAATGGTTTGATTCAATATCGGAGATAGACACCTATTATCTTATTGGCAGATGAAAACTGTTTATTATTAGTTCAAACTTAGCAACATAATAAATCCATAAGATTTACTACGGTGTTCAAGACTGGATTCAACAAAACCTTCTTGTTCTTGAACCATAGCAAAGAATCTGTTCTTTGATAAGACCACCCAATCAAAGGGGTTTGATTCAATATCAGTGATAGACACCTATTGTCTTATTGGCAGATGAAAACTGTTTATTATTAGCTCAAACTTAGCAATATAATAAATCCATAAGATTTACCACGGTATTCAAGTGTGGATTTAACAAAACATTCTTCCTTTTTTAAACCATGGCAATGAATCTGTTGTTGATAGTAACCAGGGCTAAAGAGAATAGAAGGGCTGGTTCACTCCTTTGAAGAAACTCTCGCCGCGCCTATCCTCCGATTTGCTCTAGTGACGTCACTTTGGCGCAAAACTCCCACTTTTATTTCAAGAACGGAGCGTTTGGCCTTGCTAGCTCTAACTAATATTGGAGCATTTTTTTTCCGTGACATATTCTAAGACATTTGTTATTTTCCATAATGACTTTCCTCAGTTTTTGCAGTGAATTTACAAAAATTTAAAACTATTATCGAAATGCCAGTTTGCGCGATTGCAACTTGCAAAAATTCTGATAAAAAACAAAAGGAAAAACGTGTTCCCTAAAGTAAATGAACAACTATGTAAAGAATGGATTCTGAAATGACACTGTTAACATAAAACAGCAATACGTTTATTCTATCGTTAAGAACTTTTATAAAAATTCATTATCTAAATAGAAACCGCCTCGTTACTTCAAAAAGAAAGGCAGGTGAAAAAAATTTAAAAATGGATAAAGTTAAAGAAAATTAAAACGTAAGTAAAAAGTATAAATAAAATACATGGTATACAGTTGAAATTCTCCTAATTTCATAACATATTTTTTAATATAATTATTCTAAATATTTATGATTTCTTTAAAAATTATATTCTCTTAAATTTAATTATCTATAAATTATATCATCGTAAATTTAAATATCTATAAACAATTGTGAAATTTCTAATGTCATTATGAATCCAAATTATTATTTTGCTTCAGTAATTAGCGTATAAGGTTGATGTTTCCTAATGATTAAGTATGAACAAATTTCTTTTAGCGGCATATTTAAAAATTAGGGATTCAAAATTAACTCAACTTATAGTTATAAAAGAATATGTAGATAAAAAAAATTGTCGATATGTGCTTTCATTTTTCTTAATAATTAAAGTTAAAACTGAACTTTATCAAAATAAAGTATTTATAGTGTCATTTTCGCCAACTAGTAAAATATTTTTATAAGTTTAAAATGGTATTTTTTTAATATAATGGCCAAGAAAGTTTTTTTTTAACTATATTTATGAACGGAAATAAAGTGTTAATTACGTAAAGTTTGAAAGCTAATAACCAGAAAATGTCTAACTTATTTTTACAAAGAGAAAGATGCAAAGTTATACATAATATCTTCGCTTGCGATCTCCGAGATCTGTGGACACAGTGACGTCATGAGGAGGGAAATCGTAGCTTCAGAACTTACATGGAAAAATGATAAATTAAATCAAATTTATTGCAGAGGTTTAAAAAGTGGATGTATTAGTCAATGAGAGAAAAATTATATTTCAATAGAAATTATCTTTAAAGGTGAGAGACTTGCTATTTATTGAAACATATTTACTTTGGCATAATTTCGATGAAATTATAGAATATCAGCCTTAACTAGTTTGCTTTTTGAGGCAATACTATCATGAAATAACTAAACGTTTGTACTTCTTAATGTTCAAGGAAATAATGGAATTTTTAGGAAAATTTAAATAAAAGAATTTGTTCTAGGATGTACAAATGTACAGTTTCAAAACAACGAAGTATTACTTACTGCAATTATCATACCCGATGGACCATTTAAGTTGTCAATCCATCCCTGCAATTTGAAAGAAAAAGTTAAGTCATTTTCAATTAAAATTTGTAACGACAAATATTTTTTTCTATTAAGTTTAGATAAATTGGATTCAGTATTCGAGGATTTCAGGATTTTAAAAAATCCCTCCCTAGAATTCAAAAATCCTTAGTACCGTGGATTATGAAAATCTATCACGGAAAAACCATTTAAAAGCACCGTACCCTCGGATCTTGTAAATTTAAAAATGTGATAAAAATTAAACAAATTACAATATTTTAATATATTTGTGATTATAACTACACATTTTTTGAGTGAAATCTGCATGTGAAGTCAGTGCTTATAACTCTAAAAGCTAAAGTGGTATCGAAAATTCCTACTAGCATTAACGTTAATATTCTAAGACTTACTGATTAGTAAGAATTCTTGTTTAAAAGAACAAGGAACCTTTGCAGTCCGCTTAGTAAAGACATATTTAAAGCACATATTAGAAATGATATATGCATAATAATTTTTTTATTGATTGTTTCATTTAGAAAGAATAGTCAAAAGTAACTTAAACTACAGAACCAAATGTAATGTCCATTTTCTTAAACAGCTTTGCATATTTTCCTTAACANTTGACTCCATGCCACGTCGTATAGCAGCACTTATTGCAGCGCGTGGTGGCTGCACCAAATACTGATTTCGGACGCTTAATTTGTTTCTTTTGTTTTGAAAATTTCATCATTTATTTGTATCAGTACAAGTCGTTTCTGCATTAAATTTCATTTGATTCTGATGATTCTTTCATGGTGTTGCATTTTCTACAAACAGCAGTTTATAAAACTGCTTCTTTTCCAAAATAAAATAGATATTGTTGAAAAATTTTAAAAAAGAATAAGTAAACTCCTCCCCAAAACTAGAATGGTTTTACTACCAGCCTTTCCTCTTTTCCGTCTCGCTTTCACCCCTGTCTTTAGCCCTGATAGGAACACCCTATCGAAGTCTAGAAATTTGCTGTTTAGAAGCTTCGGTTCCATCATACAATCTTTTGGATTTATTATTATTTTTTTTGGATTATTTGTTTTCACTTATGGCACAACATTTCATTAATTTGGCTTTCGCTGTTGAAGGTTTTTTGTCGAGAGCTTCTTAAAACTTTGCTGTTTGGAAGCATTGATTCGGTTCCATCATACAATCTTTTGGATTTATTTTATTTGGATTATTTGTTTGCACTTATGGCACAACATTTCATTAATTTGGCTTTCGCTGCTGAAGGTTTTTTTGTTGAGAACTTCTTTAAACTTTGCTGTTTGGAAGCATCTATTTGGTTCCATCCTACAATCTTTTGGATTTATTTTATTTGGATTATTTGTTTGCACTTATGGCACAACTGAAGGTTTTTGTATTGAGAACTTCCTTAAACCCTGGAGTGTTAGAATCTTCACATAGGCCAAAAAATAAAAGAAATAAATGAAATGAAATCATAAAAGCAGTGCCTGATTTATCATTAGGCTCGAGAGGCCCATTCCCCCTAAATGTTCCTAATTGTTCCTTTGTTCCTAAATGTAAAATTCCTTTTTTGTTTTTCTTTGAAAAATGTCCATTAAAGGTATGAGATTACAAATATTGAAACAAATATAAGCTTAAATTTACTAATATATTGTAATTTACTTCTATTATAAATAATTTAAAAACACTTCATAATTAAAATTTAGTAATCATGTAAATTTAGTTTAAAGTAACGACCAGGAGGCTCCTGACAGTTCTGTGTCTAGGGCTCCCACATTTCCAGATCAAGCCCTGCTCAAATGAAAAATTAAATAAAATGAATCAGTAAATTTTGCCATTAGTGACCTATAATATGCTTTTTAAATATCGAAGCGAACCATCTAGCTAATCACGTCATGTAAAGTAAACTATACTAACTAAATGAGCACGTAAAGAATTCTAAAAGATGACTTCGTATGAAACAAATTTACAAAAACAAAACAAGCGATTATCAGAATATAGGAAAATATTCACCCAAGTCAAAATTCTTGATCGTCCCATCAAAACATTTTGATGGTTTATGTTGGGTTTCAGTGCGATTCATGATGGTTACCATCATCCAACATTTTCCAATACGAGTTCATGGTTTTTGATATACCAGCAAGCTTCCATTATTAAGGGATGGAAAATGCTACCTTAGTACTATGATGGTTAACCATCAAGGGAAGTTTGATTCTCATGGACCAACAGTCCGTGATGATCTGTGATTGTCCATGATGGTTCCAACTATACATTTACATGATGGTTTAATTGGAGTCCTTGTTGGCTCTCTGGAATGTACCATCAAAACAATTTGATTTTTTTTAATGTTGGCCCGTCATAAATCAGTCCTAAATCCAACATTGGGATGATGGTTGTTCATGATCGTTCCAACATTTGATTTCTAAGAAACTATGATGGAAATTTCTGATGGTTTAACATGCGCAAACATTTAAACAAGTTGCTATTCTTATGTTGCGGACCATCAGAAATCAGTCTGAATTCCTACTTTAGGGTAATGGTTGCCGTCGAAAATATAATGGTTGTTTACGGAATTATTGATGGTTATCATCAAAATTATGTTGCTCCATCAATGGAAAGCCATCAAAAATTTTGACTTGGGTTCCGATGCTTGCAAAAGTCAAGATTCTCTCCTTCGAGACTAAGTTAAAATTTTAATAAAGTAATAATATGAACTTTTACCTTTTAGAACAGCAACACATCCATGACAAAACAGAGCTGTAATACAAAAGAAGAATGAATTATTTTTAGGAATGTCGTTTTTAAGCTGTTTTTAACTAAAACTTAAGAAATGTGTTTCGTAAATTGCTGCCATAACTCGATATGGAATAAATGAACTGATTTTTGCTGATTTATTCATGTGTTATGTAATGAAGAGTAGTTACATAAATGATAATATCTCATAACGCTCAATGCATGCATTTCAATATTTTTTGCTGATTCGAAAGATCATTGGTTTAATTTATTTATTATTTTTTTATAACCGCCGTTGAACGGCCGACCTAATTGTATGGGTTTACGACACTAATGATCAACTCCGTAGTCTTTTAATTTTCAATCCAACCCAGAAGACAAGGGAACTCTCGGATCAAGTATTGGGAGAAACTTGCTTCCGCGGAGGACTTTTTAGTGGAACTAACCCTCATTTGCGTTACATCGAGCGGAAAACTACGAAAACCTCCAATGGTTAATCTGACGGCAAGGGGACTCTAAGCCATGATCTTTCTACCACTGAGATTCGTATCAACCAGCCATCGCTGGGATTTGAACCCGATTCACCTCATTGGAAGGCGAACGTTATCCCCTGAGCCACCACTGCAATTGTGCATGTAATTTATTTATTTATAACCGTCGTTGAACAGTCGACCCAATTCTGGGTTTACGACTACCAATGCTTAACTCCGTATCCTTGTGATTTCGATCCCAATCCAGAAGACAAGGGAGCTCCTGGTTCAGTACCCCCAGAGGTATTGATTTGCAATGGGAACATGGAGGACATTGTGACCCAACAGATTTAACGTGCATCAGTCACCATTTACTAAGCGGGGAGTCTTCGGCCGGCGCGGAAGAACCCACGATCTCTTCGACATGGTCCCAGCGCCCTACCAATCAGGCTATCCCATCCCATTGCACATATTTTTATTTTATAACCGTAGTTGAACAGCCGACCCAATATCATGGGTTTACGACTACTTACGTTCAACTCCGTAGCCTTGTAATTTTGAACCAATCCAGAAGACAAGGAAACTCCTGGATCAGTACCCCCAGAGGTATTGATTTGCTGTGGGAACATGGAGGACATTGTGATCCAACAGATTTAACGTGCATCAGTCACCATTTACTACACGGGGAGTCTTCGGCCGGTGAGGATCGAACCCACGACCTCTTGGATATGGGCCCAGCGCCCTACCGACCAGGCTATCCCGGCCCTCCATTGCACATGTAGTCGTCATTAATAAAATAAATTTTCAATGTTTAACTGATTTAAGTCTTTTGCATGCATTTTTCAATCATAAAGAATGCATATGGCGCTGATAATTTATAGTTCAATAAAATTGAAATTTTTCTTATGAAAAATTAATAACAGAGTTTTTTTTACGTTGAAAGCTCCCGTACTCTTCCTCTGTACGTTACATGATTCGTGCCAAAAGTGGCACATTTTATACATTAAAAAGCTTCAAATTTCTAGTGTACTTTATGTACTATAGTTTAACGTAATTTATGTACTAATGTATTACAGTCTCGTTCAATTCAACATGGTAACAATGTCTCACGTGTTTTAGTAGCAATATCAGATGCGAAAAACAAATACGAATTTGCACTTTTTTAACATGAAACCCATATAGCTTCTAAACTATATGTTAGTTTCGGGATCTTTCTTATTCAATTCAGTATGAAATATACATAGGAAAGAATACTGCACTAGTCTGTCTCAAGGATTTCAATTTCCCCCCCCCCTCAATTCACCCCAATTTCCCTCAAAGAAATGGGGGAGAGAAAGGGTTTAGAGGAAAGTTTACTGGTACCGTTTATAAAACATAACAAAGCTGTCTGTCAAACAATATCTCGGTTTCCGAAGTTTTTTTGGTATAATTACTGGACTAATATTTTATTTTATATTTTATAACCGTCGGTAATTAGCCGATCCATTTTTTTGGAGGGGGGGGGGGTTACGACTGCTAATATTCAATTCCGTAGCATTGTAATTTTGAACTCAATCCAGTAGACAAGGAAACTCCTGGATCAAGTAATGAGAAAAATTTATATTCGTGGAGGACATTTTAATGGAAATAATCAGCACTTGCGTTACATGGGGAGCAAAACAACGAGAACCTCCCACAGTTAACCTGACAGCAAGGGGACTCTAACCCATGATCCGTCTACCACTGAGGATATTTCACGTCAGCACTGTGGTCGGTGCAAGCTGGATGCGGAATTCGTATCGACCAGCCATCGCTGGGATTCGAACCCGGTTCACCTCATTGGAAGGCGAACGCTCTATCCCCTGAGCCATCGCGGTGCAATTACTATTATTATAGAAATAGACAATTATTATAGAAATTGGTGATAAATGTTCATAACTTACGTTGTCCAACTTGCTGAGCTTCAGTTGTGAGGTATAATAAAGATAATATAAGCGCTGTTCCTATGTATATTCTCATGGTTGTTGGTTATATGGTTTCACATCCACAGAAACGCCCTTCGCTTCACGTTTGTACAACAGGTGGAAGTGGTTATCTCCCGTAAAGAATCATTGAAACAAAAGACATTAATAGGGTGACGTAAACACAGTTTTAAGTAGTTTTTCTGAAATAAAAATCTTATCGAAATGAGTTCGTTCGCGTTACCATGGCGACGATATTCACAATGTAACTTATAGAACAATCGCTGATAACTACTGCTGAAAACTCCATTGTTTGTATGAGTATTTTTCAATTCCTACTATTAGTTCACATTCTCCCTATATCTTTTTCAAATTTTCAATCGTTAATAAAATACTTTTTATTCATAAACTCAAGTTCAAAGATATTTTTTTAAACTTGTACTGGATGGCACTTGATGCTAATAATTTTTTTTTTTTTAAATATTAATTCATTAATTAAATGGGATGAGCGAAAAACGAAATGGAATTGGATGACACTTGACGTTAAGAAACTTTTTTAAAAATATTAAATCATTAATTAAATGGGATGAGCGAAAAACGAAATGGAATTGGATGATACTTGACGTTAAGAAATTTTTTTTTAAATATTAAATCATTAATTAAATGGGATGAGCGAAAAACGAAATGGAATTGGATGACACTTGATTTTAATACAGTTTTTTTTTAAAAAAATATTAAATCATTAATTAAATGGGATGAGCGAAAAACGAAATGGAATTGGATGATACTTGACGTTAAGAAATTTGTTTTTAAATATTAAATCATTAATTAAATGGGATGAGCGAAAAACGAAATGGAATTGGATGACACTTGATTTTAATACAGTTTTTTTTAAAAAAAATATTAAATCATTAATTAAATGGGATGAGCAAAAAATGAAATGGAATTGGATGACACTTGATTTTAAGACAGTTTTTTTTAAAAAAAAAATATTAAATCATTAATTAAATGGGATGAGCAAAAAACGAAATGGAATTGGATGACACTTGATGTTAATGCAGTTTTTTTTTAAAAAAAATATTAAATCATTAATTAAATGGGATGAGCGAAAAACTAAATGGAATTGGATGACACTTGATGTTAATACAGTTTTTTTTTTTTAAATATTAATTCATTAATTAAATGGGATGAGCGAAAAACGAAATGGAATTGGATGACACTTGATGTTAATACAGTTTTTTTTAAATATTAATTCCTTAATTAAGTGTGATGAGCGAAAAACGAAGTGGAATTGGATGACACTTGATTTTAATACAGCTTTTTTTAAAAAAAAATATTAATTCATTAATTAAATGTGATGAGCGAAAAACGAAATGGAATTGGATGACACTTGATGTTAATACAGTTTTTTTAAAAAAATATTAATTCATTAATTAAATGGGATGAGCAAAAAACGAAATGGAATTGGATGACACTTGATGTTAATGCAGTTTTTTTTTTTTAAATATTAAATCATTAATTAAATGGAATGAGCGAAAAACGAAATGGAATTTTCTGATTGGTTAAGAGTTAGTCATCGTTTTAAATTTTACTATAAGCCATTCAGTTTTTCACATATTTTGAAAATAACATTAGTGATAATTTCTAACTTATTTGAACAAAAAAAAAATAGTTTATTGCGCACATTGAAATATTTAATTATTTTATATTTTCTGTGTCAGATAAATTCAATAAGGAACAATACGTGGTAGCACGTGTGGTCTACGTCACCAAATTTATATTTTTGTTACCACTCTCCTTTTTTCTTCTTCTTTCAATTCCTACTATTAGTTCACCCTATATATATTTATATATCTTGTTCAAATTCTCAATCGTTAATAAAATACTTTTTATTCATCACTGAAGTTCAAATGCATTTTTTTAAACTTGTAGTGAATGACACTTGATGTTAATACAGTTTTTTCAAATACTAATTCATTCATTAAATTTAATGAATTAATTTTAGCTTTATATCGGAAAAACAATTATAATTATTTAATAAAAAGTAACTAAAATAAAAATTCTCTTTGTATACCTCAGTAGGAATTGAATTAAATTTTTTTTAAATATTATTTGTTTTTTTAAATTAAAACTAGTGACAATTATTTTTTAAGCTTTCGTATTGAAGTGCCATATTATGATAAATTAGTAATAATAGTAAGTTTAACCTCAGTCGAATTTTCAGTTAAATGAAATAAACTTTAAATTGTACTTTCTCTTTCAGAAAATATTAAATTGAGCTCTTTTGTTCTACATTTAAAAATGTTTGGTTAAATCTAAAGTAACTGTATTTTATGACATAAATTATAAAAGTGTATAGAGAGATAAAAATTCCTTTCTAAAAATTTTAAACTTATTTATTAGTTTTTTTAATAATAAAATTAATTAAACTGCGTTCTTTTTAATTTTATGGACTATTATTTTATTTGACTTATCAGAGGTCTGGAATTCTACCACAAAAAAAATTTATTCGATCATCATGAGGCTAAATGAAATTTTAAAAAACATTGTAAGCATTAGAACAGGTACTTGGCACGACAAGTAAGATAAAAATTTTACTAAGAGTTTTCATTAAGAGGACGCCATATAGCGAAAAGAAAATAATAAATATATAAATGAAAATAAATTATGAAAAGATATCTTAGGAAAACGCAAAGCAAAATTTCTTTACTAATAATTTGTTTGCATTTCAATATTTTGTAGTATTTTTATCAGCAATTGAATCTTCGTGACTTTCTCTATAGGTTCGCCTGAACTTACTGCTTTTAAATTTCAAATCTTTCAATTCTTTCTTTTAAATTTCAAATTAGTAATGAAGGAAAAAGAGAATTTGCGACGAAAATTTTCTTCCGCGGTATGACGTCATAAGAAAATATTATTAATCTAAAATAATTTAGAGTAACTAGTAACAAAGCAAATTTTAACTTCCATCTCACAAATCAGAATGCATTACTTATAATTGGAGCTGTTAGTGTGTTATTCTTAAATCTCGTTAAAACGAAGACTCTAGGAGAAATAAAGACCTTGGATTTGATAACTTGCATATCGTTCAAGTTTCAAAAATTGTCTATGAATATTCTTGAAACTTAATTTAAAATTAAGTTCATTGAAAAAATTAAGCTCCAAATTTGAAATTTCCGAAGTTTTAACTTTGGAATTTAATTTTATAACCGTCGTCCAACAGCTGACGGAATTTTCAGTTTACGGCTACGGATGTTAAACTCCTTATACTTGTAATTTTGAACCCAATCCAGAAAACAAGGGAACACCTGGATCATGTATCAAGAGAAATTTTACCTTCGTGAAGGACTTTTTGATGAAACTACCCCGCATTTGAGTTACACGGAGTTTCGTAAACCATGAACACCTCCCATGGTAAGCCTGACAGCGAGGGGACCCCGTTTACCACTGAGGATATTTTCTGTCAGCACTGTGGTCGGTACGAACTGAGTGCGGAAGTGAAATCAACCAGCCATTAACGGGATTCGAACTCGCGGTTCTCCTCATTGGAAGGCGAGCGCTCTATCCCCTGTTTCACCGCGGAATCGAATTAAAATTGTCTTTAGAATTGTCTAAATTTAGTTATTTTGAATACTACCATACATTTAATCGTTATGATTTTTAAATAGCTTCGATTTTCCTTGCCTCTCCCCCCTCCCCGATAGTTCAAACAACTAGATTAGTTAGACTTATATGCATGTATCTTTACTAGAATTTTTATAAGAATTTAAATTTTCGACATTCACATAGTATTCAGAATGCTTTTGTAAACATGAAGAAACTTAAACCATTCAATTTTGGAAATAAGTGGTAATTAAAATTTGTACTGACTACTAAAGAAACAAATTATACATTAAGTCTTAATGTTCTTTTCACAAGTTTTAAACGTTGGCAAGTTCTAATTGATAATTTAGGATTTTTTTTTTCTTTTTAAATGACTATGGCTGGTTAGATGTTTTTGATAAGTTTTTTTTTTTTGTCTTCATGAAATATTTTAATGAATATTGGAACGCTTTAATCTCGCTATTTTAAACTTCAATAATTTCAGTGGCTTTTTTCGTTTGAAGAAAATTTGTGGGAGAGTTTTTATTTTCAAAATATTTAAGATATTCATGTACATCTATTTTTTAAAATTTTACCTAAGCTGATTAAAGCTTTTGATTTAAGCCGCTAATGAAATGTGAATGTTTTAACATATTAAGCGACGTAGCTAAAGTATAATTCTAAAATTATTAAAACATTACAAACCAATATTTAGCTTATTCTCATTGAAGCTGCACTTTCATGGATTTATAAAGGCAAAAACTCTGTCATTAGGATATCAGATAAATTTAAAATAAAAAATAGAATAAATTTAGTTCAAACTTAAAATAAACTATTCTAAACAACTCTTAGCAGATCATACAGTCTTCTTTGCGTATATTTACAAGCCATATTTGTATTAATATTAATCATATTTAAATAAACATAAAATAAGAGTGTACAGTTAAATGTTTATTAAACGGATTTACATGCAGATGCATACTAAGGGGAAATGTAAGTTTTATGTCACTTTCATGTATATTTTTCTCAATCTATTTTGAACATCATCCAGTAGTGGACTGATAGTAAAGACACAGTTCTCAGTAGAACACCAAAGTAGAGTATCACTGGCTGAGATCAGTAAGAGGGTGGGTGCTTGATCAGCCTGCGTAGGGACCGAGGGTGTGGGGTATCGATCCTCGTTAAACTATTCTACCGTAAAGTGCTCGACTTCGGGCAGGTCATCGGGCTACAAAGGCAGGGGAGCCATCCCCTCTGCAGAGGATCAAAGTTGCGATGGTATGTTTTCGGATCATCCTCGGGGATGTCTCCCGGACCGTCGCCAATACATCCTTGGGAATGTTTCCCGGACCGTCGGCAATAGCTCGTTGTGCTGCTCTAGTGCGAAGTAAATAAAGGAAAAATGGAGAAATTAGGCGTAAATTTAAACACAAATTACAATAATAAAACTTCCTAAAATATTAAACTTGTTCAGGCATAGGAATTGGATGAAATAAAAATTTAAGATTCGACTAGTATTAGTTAGGAACTGTTGAAGTTACGACTGTGAAAGTTGTAGTTAAAAAAAAAATGCAACCACTGAGTAAAAATTTGACGTGCTGATCATTTTTAAATATAAACTTAACGATTTTTTTTTTCGAAATTTAAATTTGTTTGAAAGTTATTGCAATTGCGTTACATTTTATTTTGTCTGGAAAAAAACCATAAGACTTGAAATTAAGAAGATGTGTAGAAAAAGGCGCATAGAGTTGGATGAAATGAAAATTTACGATTCGATTATTAGTTAGAGACTGTTAAATTTGTAGCAAAAAATGTTGGCCCATCTACTGCCCGTTGAGATGCAACTACTGAGTAAAATTTGACGTACATGACATTTTGAATCATAAAATTAATCATCTTTTGGGCATCACGAATCACTAGGGATTTTTTTATCTTCGAAACTCGGATTTATTTGAAAGTTATTGCAATTTTAGAGTGCTTTTTGAAAAGCGTTTGCTTTTCTAGAGGATATTTGTTTATTCATTGTTGTAGAAAAATTTCTATCGTGATATAAAGCTCGTGATTGACTTTTTTTTCCCTTCTTACTTTTGATAAGTTAAAAAAAATAATAGAAGCTAGATGTTACGAGATGTGAATTTTATCATCTATATCGAAGCTTTTAAAAATACAAAGACTGAAGAGAGATAAAAAACTGTTTCCAATATCGACTATTAGTTGATCATTACATATCATCAACAAATAAAACTGCTTCTCATTGCATCGCATTTTTTGTGTTCCCAATTATAATTTTTTTTTAAAAGTACAATTGACTATTTATTAAATCCAGGTATCCTTTCATTTTGTTCGATTAATATGTGTTAACATAAAATTCTAACATTTACATATTTTATAAATAAAATGATCCTTTCAATCGATTTTTAAGAAGAAACGATGAATGTGAAGCCACTACGAAGTTTGGTGAGTCGAGCGAACAGGGGGCAAAGTCTTCTAATTCTTGTAAATTATTTATCTGTCATTTAATGGTATTTTTTATTCTGATCTAAAAGGAATATAGACTTAATAAGGCTTCAGAAAAAATAATCGAGTACTATTCATGATAAAAATATTTAGTTACCGTTTTACTTTTTTGAAAAGGTAAATAGTTATATTTCCTAGAAATATAATATATTTACTTTAATTAAATTTCATATCAAACAGTGTTCAGTCAACCTCCTTCATATACAAATTCTTTGCATGAAATGAAAATGGTTTGAACTGCTCCAGAGGATTGCTAGAGCGAATTAAATACATTGAAAACAACCCTTTAAAGAAGTTCTAGCTTCTCGGCCACTGTGGTCCTCTTTGAGGATCACTGGTGCTCAATAGCTTAGCGCTAGTTCTCCACATTTACATTTATTGCTGTCAATCGCCGCTTTGCTATTTGCCACGTTTGTTTACTTGGTGAGTATTTAAATAATATTTTATTACACGAATTGTCAATCATTTCGATCACAACTATAATCTCTTAATTATTTGTCAGGGCTCTGTGTCTATACTTATTACTTCCAATAAACTTTTAGTAATCTTTCGTTTTCATCAAATTACAGATGATTCTTAAAACTTCAATACTGTAATTAAATGTGTTTTTTTTTTCCTTTCATTTCTTTTAGAAAATAATTTTCTTCTACAGAATATGTGATCAGCTCTTATAATATTTATCTCTACATTTTTTAAATTGTTAGATTTTTAAAATGTCTCGGTTTTCTTTTTTTTAAGTAAAAAAAAAACCTTTAATTTGAATATTAGTTATTGAAACAAAACCTGGAATAAAATTTATAACTTGTCCTTTACTATTTAAAATTTTAATTTAAAGTTCATCTCTTACAGTTATTTTTAAGATGAATCTCATTTGCTCTCTTTTGTTCATTTGTTACTTTGGTTTTTCACTTGGTCACCAACATCAACAAGCTTATCAACCTCCACAACAACCAGCTTATCAACAACAAGTACCTCAGCATGCTCATCCACAAGAAGGTCAAGCCCATGGTGGTCAACACACAACTGGTCAACCAAATATGTTAAGAGACAAAACACATGTTCAAGATAGAGAGTAAGTTTCATAAATGAGGAGTTTATAAAAAATTCAGTTTAATGGATTGAAAGTAAAACTGAGATTATATTTACACATCAGAAAATTAAAAGAAATATCTTTATTTTCATGTTTCTTTTTTAAAAAAAAAAACAGTTTCTTAGGTTAGACCACAAATCTCTTAATGATATGTTTATAAACTGTTAATTTTGTAAAATAGTTTCATGATATAAAGGAATATGTTAATATTCCTTCATATCGAGAAATCATAGGAAGTGCCATATGTAACACAGATAAATTAACAATTTTGTAGTTTTTGAGAGTGATAAAAATTCAGTTGCTAAATAAAAATTTCGAGGGAGACTAAATTTTGTATATATAGTTACATCAAAATAATATTGTTTATAACTGTTAGTTTTGTAAAATAGTTTCATGATATGAAGGAATATGTTAAGATTCCTTCATATTATGAAATGATATGAAGTGCCATATGTAACACAAATTAATAATTTTGCAGTTTTTGAGGGTGATAAAAATTCAGTTGTTTATCCAAAATTTCAAGGGAGACTAAATTTTGTATATATAGCTATATATACATCAAAATAATATTAATCCTTGTGCATAAAATGTTTTAACTTTAAAAAATATTTGACTAAATTTAAAAGTGATGTTAGAATACTAAAGCTAAATAAATGCAGAATTTAAAAGTTGAAATGTGCTAAAATCTGACTATGAAATGTGGCACATGTGGAATTCTATGGATTACTACTTTTCTTCATTGAATTTTAAAGATTGTCTTATTCAATATAAAGGCCAATTCAAATAATTTAGTTCCTGTTTGTTTCTTTGAAATTTGTCAGCTATATATTTATTATAGTTCATAATTATCCTTATACTAAAATTTTGTGGGTTTTGACAATTTTATTTTATAACCGTCGTTGAACAGCTGACCCAATTTTGGGTTTACGACTACCAGTGTTCAGCACTGTAGCCTTGTAATTTTGGACCTAATCCAGGAGACAAGGGAAGATCAAATATCAGATGGGATTTTGCCTTCGTAGAAGACTTTTTGTTAGAACTAACCCGCATTTGCGTTACATCAAGAGGAAAACCTCCCATGGTCAGCTTGACTGCAATGGGTCTCTAACCCATGATCCGTCTACCATTGAGGATATTTTACGTCAACACTGTGGTCGGTGTAAGCCAGATGCGGAATTCGTATCGACCAGCCACCGCTGGGATTCAAACCTGGTTCACCTCCTTAGAAGGCAAACGCTCTATCCCCTGAGTCATCACAGTTGGGTTTTTGATAACTGCCAAAAACTATGTCCAAATGTTTTTTTTTGACGTGACGATTAAAACCATATAGACCCATCAATTGTCAAAAACTTGCCATCCCTGCCTAATTATGATAAGTGCCTAAAAATATTTTTCGAGTACTTAAAAGGTGCTTATTTTTGTTGAAAAATTTGGCTACACACCCGGAAATCAACACTAAGATCTTTTTTTTTATAAAAGACACCTTTCATGATTTGTAAAATGTTGACACATGTTTACGAAAATTCTTATTTTATCTTAAAAATGACTTTAAGACTAGAAATTAATAACAATTTTAAGTTCTGATTTTGATAAAAGTTATTTTTTGTAGGCACATAAAAGAACATTTGCAAGGAGTTGTAGGAAATCAACCAGACGTGAGCAAGATGTCAGAGGAAGAGCTGCAATTCCATTACTTCAAGATGCACGACAATGATGACAACAACAAACTGGATGGATGTGAGCTCATCAAGTCTGTTCTTCACTGGCATGGTAATTTTATCTTTCATTTTTGAGTATAAACAGGGTTGCAACTCCAGGGGGAAAAACCTGGAAAATACAAGGAATTTTGTTTCTTAATTTTGTCTTTAAAAAAATGGCAACCACTCAGAATATGATATTTCAGTTATACTAAACTAATTCATTTACTATAGCATTATTTGTTTTAAGTATATCCAGCTGTTCCTTTTTGTTTCCAAGTTTTTTCAGCAGCTATAACTAGTATAGTTAGCCCAATACTGCTCAAGTAGAAGCGCAGTGACTGTATTGTACCACGTTTATATCAACTTGCCTTCGTGTATGTCTGTTCGGATGGAATTTTGTAATTGATTTTAAACTAACTTCCCGACTAGCTACAGACTTCAAATATGGCACATAGTTCTGAATTGGATGACAATGCATGAAAATGAAGAGAAAAAAGATATACAAAGTAAAGAAAAATTAATATTTTCGCAATTGTCTTTTGTTGTCGATTGATTGATTTCAAATTAGTGTCGCATGTCACTTGAAAAGTTTTGCGTACAGTGAGTAAAAAAATTGAGATTTTGGAAGTGAGTACAAAAACGAAAAAAATTTATAATAATTTTTTTAAGAACCACGTTTTTGTAGTGGAGAATATAATTTAAAAACAATAATTTGAAAAATGAAAAACGTGGGGCGCATGAAATACATAACAGTACATATACACATTTTCATACACATGCACATCCACATTCAGATACAATTACAGATATACATACGCATATTCTCATGAGCACCCATACTGTTACTGTTATGTATTTTATGCGCCCCACGTTTTTCGTTTTTCAAATTTTTGTTTTTTAATTATTATTCTCCACTACAAAAACATGGTTTTGAAAAATATTATTTTTATTTTATTTTTTCATCTTAATATCTTTTGTACAATATGTACAGGAAATTTTTTTACCAGACTTGAGTTGAAACCTTGTTTGCTAAATAGAGTAAGGAAAAGTACAATAGAGAAACAGGTAGACCTACCTACTGAACCCGGTTTAGAATGGAGATGGAGTTACAAAACTGAAGAAAGGGAGCTGGTAAGAGGGTGCATTAGAACTCTTTGGTAAGAAATCAGAGTAGAGCTGAAACAAAGAAAAAAAATTAAGGATGAGCACATTAACAGATTTCATTTTAAAGATTCTGAAAATAGATCTGATTTTTAAAATTTCATTTAAAAAAAGATACAACTGGTAAAAAGTATGGGTTGTCAAAAATCATGATTTTTTTTTCCTTATAGATAGTATCTAAATTTTATATTTAAATCTTAATTTTGTTTTGTAAAGAATCACCCTAAAAAATTGCTTGCAATTTGTTAATTTTTTAAAAAATGTAATTAAAATTAAAAATATATCATGTTAATATATTAAGATTATACTGTATTGTGCATGTAAGTTTTTTATGAAAATGGTATATCTTATCAAATGCCCAATTTTTGAAATGATCAAAGATAAATGTGCTCTGGATTCTTGGCGATCCGAAAGTTTCGAGAAATCATCCACATTATGTATGCAAATCATTAATGTAACAAAATTCTATTCTATTATGTAAAAAAGTGTTATGTTCTTGTATATTTTATTTGAGAATATTAGGACTAGAATTTATACTTGGCATCTCTTTCATTTGTAAATATTTTTTTTTTTAGGTGGAATAATAAATGTGATTAGAGATAAAAAAAAAAAAAACAAATTTATACATAATTGTCTATTAAAATTATGCTGCATATAATTTATTTAGAATTTCATTGTCTTGAAAATATCAATGATTTAAATTTATAAAGACATTAATTTTTTGAAATACGACATTAATGATTTTATTTTACTAAAGAGATTTTCATGATTTTGGAGTGGGCTCTCAATCACCCCTGAATGATAAAGGCTAACATTGCAGATCTATGAAATAACCCATTTATTAAAATTGAAAAAATTCATTAAAATAAAAGGCTTTTATCTAGATGCAACATTTTAATTATAAATTCTTAAATTACACTAAATTCTTGAACAATAATTTCCTTAAAGGAATTTAGAATAATAAAAAAATTTTTTAAAAATAAAATTTATTTTAAAACTAAGAATGAGGATTATTTTCATTACCATCACAAATTCGAAAGGAGAAACCCATGTTCAATAAAAAAAAATTTATAGCTATGTACTTATTTAATAAGGAAAAAGTAGTGAATTTTAATTTAGCTCTTTGTTTTGCATTCTGAAAATTTAATTTTATTAGTGCAGAAATGGAGGAGAAGGCAGTTAAAAGTTCTGAAAAGCAAAAAAAAATTTTTTTATATCATGATTTAATAAATAAGAAAATAAAAAGGTGATCAGATCATCCATATATCTAGAACAGTTCTCAAACACTGCGTTGCGGCACTTTTGTGTGCCGCCAAATATTAGAAATGATACAATAAAAATTATAATGCTTTTTTTATTACGAGTGAAGTTTAAATTAAAGAAAAGTGTATATATATATAAAATATTATATATATATATATATACACATTTTATAATTTTTCCATGCTTTAACCGTGTGAACATCTTTGTCGGCGATTGTCTTGTCTCTGACAATCTTAAAATTAGTTAAAATAAGAAGGAAGTGTTTAAATTGTCTTTGACAATTTTAAATAATGTTGAAATAAGTAGAAAAATGTAACAATTATTAAAATCATTAATTAACAAAGGAAAGCAAGCTAAATATTAACTTTCAAACTTAAATAAAAGCTAATAATTAAAGTAAGCTATGCAATTGAAAGTTATAAAACAAATTAACAAAGGATAACTAACAAAAAAATAAGCTAACAATTAATAATCCGCAAAAAAAGTAATTGACAAGAAATCACAAAAAATAACAGTTAATAGCTATAGAAAACAAGCTAACAATTAATAACTAACTAATAAAAAATTTGTCGAAATAAATAATTAATCCCTTAATAAACGTGCTTTTGCAGTACATATTATTTTATTTCACATTCAAAATTATTATCACAAACTATTTAACACAGTGTATTATAGATATGTAAACAGCTTTCAAACTAATTTTTTTTCATTGTGTGCCGTCAAATTTCAAAATCGTTAAAAGTGTGCCGCCCCCAAAAAAGGTTGAGAATCACTGATCTAGAACTAGTATATAATTTTCCAAGTAACGAAATATGAAATTTCAATGTTGTGAAATTTTTAACTTAGTACCTTTTTCTAAGTTTTACTTTTTTTGTGTATTCGCAATTCATGCTAATTTTATTAATATTACATAACTTTATAAAAATAAATTGTATATATACTACATGCCTTAAGAGGACACTATATCCCGGAAGAAAATTTTTGGAGCAATTTCTTTCTCATTACTTCAATTTCATTACTAATTTAAAAGAAGGAAAAAGTAAGTTGAGACAAACCTAGAGTAAGTCATAAAGTTTCAATTGCTGAAAAAAAACTTCAAAATATTAGAAGAGAATCGTAAGTTATCTTCTCTTATTTTCATTTGTATATATTAAAATTTTCTTTTCAGTATTTGAAACTTCATGGCTTAACTCTAGGTTTGTCTGAGCTAATTTTTTTTTTTTTTTTTTCATTTTAAATCTGAGTTTGTTGATTTAAATCAAATGATTTTTTTTAAGAAGATCATAGATTTAAATCAACTGATTTTTTTTATATATATTGATTTGAAAAGTTAAAAAAACAGTGTTTTAAATTATTGATACTTTAATTATTTTCATCTCTTAGTTTTAAAATTTATTTTAAGTGAAGTGCTGCATTATTTAATTTTAGTTAACGAAATTACTTTCTTCCTTGGTGTGTGTTAAATTCCAACCCATTTAAAATTACATTTTTAAAAATCTTTTGATTCTTGAAATTGAAAGTACAGATTAAAGTAAACATTCAATGCTGTCCTAATATAGACTTGCATAGCTATAGAAAGTAACTAATAAACATGAATTGTTTTCACAAAAAAACCCCGCAGATGATGTTAATTAAAATTCTACCTTTTGATTGAAAAAGCATGGAATTAAAATCTACATTATATTTTATTGGTGGAAAATGTCTATTTTTAAAGCTTGAGATTATATTAAAAAGAAATTACCCTAATATGCCAAAAATAGAAGAAAAAAAAATGCTGATGAACTCAGATATTTTTTTCCTGGTATTGTGTCATTCTTCCCCTTCAAACTCTTTCACAGTCTATTTAATTCCTTAACAATCGGTTAATTTTCAAGAAAACGGTCATAAAAGTGCCTATTTTTTTGTATTTGTATTACGTATTTGATTAGTGCTGCAACTCGTTTAAAATAAACTAACTATTTACAATTACCTTAAAAATATTCTGGTACTGCCATCAGGTGTGTAAAATGATAAATAAAATGTTTTCCAGGCAAAAGAAATGAATTAGTTTTATTCTTATTGGCGCGTTACTACTGAACACTCCAGCCCATCAATATCACGGGAGCGAGAAGGAAGGGGTTAAAGCAGTAAGGTTATTAACTGGTAACAGGGTGCATGTTTACAGTATCTTTGGCATTATCAGATTTTCGGTAAAGAAATTTTGTGAAAAGAATTCCAATGAGTACTTAGATTTTTTTAGGTTAACTTATCTATTTTGATATGGGATTAAGAATGAATATTTTACTATAAAAATATATAGATTAAATATTTTTTTATTTTTTTGATGAATGACTATATTTATGAACACATCTGTTACATTTATTTTGTCATTTTAAAAATCAAGAGGGAAAAAAAAGAAATCACAATTTTGAATTAAAATTATGGTTTGCTAATTGAAACTTTGTTTTAATAGTTAAAACATTATTTAAATTCTCTATTTCATCTAGTCTTTAAATTTCAATCATGCATTTGTTTCAAAATGGTTGCAATGCTTTCAAAGCTATGTATTATAATGAAAAATTGTTTTAGGTAGTTAAAGCTCCTAAAATATTGTTATAATATAGTTTTAATATTAATTTAATTTTGATTAAACATTTATAAAGTTTTTTTAATTATAAATCAAAATTCTTACAGTGTATTTGCATGAAAATCAAAAAAAATCCAATTTAAATAAAAAAGGATCAGAATTTTTTTTTCTTTTTAAGAAACAAAAATATCACAAACCCTGTTTTAAATTAGTAAGGATAGAGAATTTGCGGCGCAAATTTTACTCTGCGTTATGACGTCTTCTTAAAATTGCACTGGTTTAAATTTTTAATTCTGTATATATTCTTATGTTATTAATTCTTAAATTTGGTTTGGAAGACCTAACACAAATGCACATGTTTCTTTGTAGTTGAAGAGAGTAATGCTATGGGAACAAACGCCCCGCACCAAGGAACGACAAAGATTTTCCAGGACAATGAACTATCACTGATGATTGATCCTATTTTAGATATGGACGACAGGAACAAAGATGGTTTCATCGACTACCCAGAATTTGTTGCAGCACAAAAATCACGAGGGTTCACGCCTTAAAAAATCTTAATTTTTTATTTTGAAAGTATTGTTTTTAAAAATAATGATGTTGATATTTTTTTAAGAAAGAAATGTTTAAGCTTGTTGCCTTTTTACTACTTATTTGTCATTCCCTTTAATATAGAGGTTGTTTTACATATGTATTGAAATGTATTTCAAGGTATATTTGTCTGACTTATCAGAAATTGTCTTTTACTTATACAATAAATTCATTTAATAAGAAAGAGGTGCATTTATTTTTGCTTTCAATATTACTTATATAAACAACAAATTCAATACAAAATAGACATAATTCTATTGTCATAAGCAGTTTGTTTTTTTTTTACACTCCATCTCATTATATTTTCTTTTCTTTCAGTTTTATTTTGCCTCGAGAAAAACCTATACTTTAACAATTTTCTAATTATTTTTACGAAACTAATCATTTTGATTATTTTAGAGCAACTTTTTTTGTCATAATTTAATATTCATTCCTTTTGAGTCGAATTTCATGAATGAAATTAAATTTTGAAACGGCAACTTAGAAATTAAAGGTGTAGTAAACTTAATAAAGTTGAGCACACAAAGAAAATACATTCTTTTTGAATTTCATTAATAGAATTAAATTTTAAAACGGTAACTTAGAAATTAAAGGTATAGTAAACTTAATAATGTTAAGCAGGGGAAAACGTGTATTATAGTATAGTATTGATTTTAGTTTATTTTCTTGCCTTGAGGGCGGATGACATAAACCTTATGTCGTCATTCAAATTTTTAAGATTTATTTTTTGTTTGCTTATGCCCTTAAAAGATTATTGTTGCACTCACATATTATTTAGGATGAAGTAAAGAATAAATAATAGTCTCAAAGAAGTACTTGGATATTTAAATAGGTAATAACATTCAAAAGATAACTGTCATTCTGTTTAATGATTGAATTTGATACAAATCATTGCATTTTACCCAATGCAAAAAAAAATTCAGCAAAAGAGCACTTACACTCCACAGGAAAATGCAGGAACTTTAAAAATCACTTAAAATAACATGGAATTTCATTTCTTATTTTTGTCTTTTAAAAGGTGACGGCTCGTCTTTTAAACGGTGACGGCTTAAATATCTATGAGATATTTAAGAATATTTCAGCTATTCTAAACTATTTCATTTGCTACAGCATTATTTGTTTTTAGTATGTTCAGTTGTTTCTTATTTCTTTAAGTTTTTCCAGCAATTAAAACTAGTATAGCTAGACTAAATATAGGTCTATCAAAAGCACATTGATAGTGTGTTTCCTCTTAATATATTGTGTCTAGTATGTACAGGGAATTTTTTTCTCGAGATTTGAGTGGCAATCCTGATATTTCAAGTTTCTAAGTCATGTGAGTTTAGTGCAACTAAACAAAACTTTAAGCTGAACCCAAAACAGCTGCGCCATTGAGTATAGAGGAATAGTCGGTGTCTCGTGTTATAACGTTTAAACAACTGGTAGACGCAGAAAGAGAATTTATCCATCCCTTCCCAGAAAGCATGCAACATTGTGTCGAAATTTTATTTTTATTGCCACGAAAATGTGTGTACTAAAAACCTTTTTTCAAATAATGCAAAATTATTGCAGTTTCAAACCTTTCATCCTAAATGTACTAAAAACTATTTTTTAAAGCTTTTATTAAAAAGTATTGTCACTGATGTCTATAATGACGTTTTAGCTGACGTCACACCAGCGATAAGATCAAATTGCATAGTCCATTAAAATTTCATGACAAGGTGGATTTTAGCTGAGCATGCAAGACTTTGTGGAATATAAACCTTATAATGACCTAGATTTAAGATTATTTTCGCTTTGAGACTAGTTTTTATAAAGGATTTTTTCACGCTTGAAAACCCTAAGTCAACCTCGATTTAAGATTTTTTTAAATAGAAGGCTGTTTTCCAAGGTTTCAGATTAGGGTAATGTGCGTAGAATTCAGCAAATTGTCACAGATCCCGTTTTAAGGTTTACACGTAAGCCGCATGACAAACCTTTCTTTTTAGGTTTACATTAAAAGGTTTTTGCTGAGTGAAAATAAACCTTATTTTGCTATCTGGGCTTGCGTCAATTCCCGCTTCTAAAATCAATTATACAAACATGTATTGTGTGTTATACAAGCAAGTATTATGTGTTATACAAACATGTTCGAGTGATGAGGTGCTATAGTTTTAAGAAGTGCTCCCAGGATCCGACCTGAAACTGCCCCCTGTGGGTCCTTCTGAAGTGTGATATCTATTTAAGTTAAAATACGTTTTGAAGGAAAAAAATTAACCCAGATTTAGAACATTTCTAATTTATTTCATCAATATCATTATGAATAAAATAATGTTATGGAACAAATTTGTCTTCAACCTCAATCCTGTCTGTACGGAAATTATTGTAAAAATTTAGCTTAACATACAGATAGCAAAATTTGCAGATATAAGGTAGTTGAAAATTATACATAAAAACTTTACTCTGTTTAAATTTAAGTTGCATTTTATTAAGCGGAACAAATCTCTATACAGATAAACTTGTAGTCAACTTTTCATTTTGTGACGTTGCTATGTTAACCAAGCTTCAAGTTAAAATGTACATATAGTTTGTCTATAGAAGGAACTCCCCTCGTCATGAAGACTAAGGTTGTCTGTTGCTATGGAAACAAGAAATAGCTTATTTTAACGAGGGGAGCTTCGTTCTCCCTCTGCTGCGAATGCTTATTGGAACAGGGCCCGACTTAGCCTAATTGGAGCCTGGGGCAAAAACTTCTTTAGGGCCCCTAAAGAAGTTTTTGTTTACTGCTGCTTTACTACTTTATGGAGATATTTAAATTTTTCACCTCAAAATAGATAACAAGAAAATTGACTAGAACATAAAACAGCTATTAAGTCCCTCCCCTCCAGTGATCTGCCAAAATATCGTTCTGTCCATCTTATTGATTTTCTGACAATTCTATGTCGTTAATGCCGAATGGAATTTTCTGATTGTTAACTTTGTCATCTAGCTGTGAAAAATTCATATCCTAGCTGACATTAAGGCGGAATTCAGCTAAAGTTTCGCAATTACGATGGCTCACTCAAGACAATCAGAAGCCTGTATTTTTGTAAATATATCGCATTTTGGAATTTGTTAAAATACAGGCTTTAGATTGTCCAAATTCGTCCATCGTAAGTGCAAAAATTAAGCTGAATTCTGCACTAGAAAGCCATGAATTTACGAAACATAGATTTTTTGTGTTCATACGATAGATTAATGAAGCTAACATAAAACTGAAGGATTTTACACTGTACTGATATTTTGTTTAAAAAAAGTTCATTAAAGAAGGAAAAGTAAAATGAACTTTCGATTCGATTTGGGGGCCCGGGGCAACTGCCCCGTATGCCCATGCCTTAGTCAGGCTCTGTATTGGAAATGTATGGACCTTGACTCTGACATGGTTTACTTCAATGTTCGACATTCCCTTCTCCTACTCAGGACCCGTTAAAGAATAATCTGCTTCAATTTCTCCTAAATTTACGGTGTTAATTTATGTTTCATCATAAAGAAGAAACTAATTTTTTTTAATATTAACTTTCATCTTTGATTATGTTGTTTTTTTAAATTGTTTTCATGGACTAGTTTGAACTTTCTTCAATTACACCCTTTGTGTTATTTTTACAATTCTTTATGTTTAACTTATGAAATATATGTATTTCTTAAATTTCTATTGAATTATTTAATAAATAAAATTTAAAAAAAACACTCGTATAAATTAACAAAAGAATTTATTTGGATCTGTGCTCTTTGAAAGTGAAAGTGAATATGATTATTTTTATCAGTGAAAGTGAATATCAGTGAAGAGGAAAGATTCTGTGAAGTCATTGCGGAAAAAGAAAAAGAAAAATTTAAAAAAAAAGTTTTCATGAGGGTGATTTGTGTGAGGAAAGAAGTACTCAAATAAAAGAAAATATCTACCTTTTTAAGATAATTTAAGAAAGAAAAGTGTGATAAATCATATTTTAAGTGTATTTATTATGTGATATAATTTATTTTCGCTTTCACAAGATGGATGATTGAAATATACCAATTATGGATTTTTTTCTTTCAATTTTAACTAGTTAATTTTTCTTTTAAATTAATACAATCTATTGCATTTTCTCATGAAAATTCTGTTTGATTACCATTTAAATAAAAATTTTGAACTTTTATTAAAACAAAAGTGTCCGATTTATAAATTTTGAAAGATTTCTTTATACGTATTGTGCTTTTTCACATTGTTAAATAGATTTATTTATTTTCACAATTAGAAAATACTTTTTAAAGTTTATTATAATTATAAAAATTTATTTTTATTGTTTGGATGCCCTTGAAGAAGTGGCAGAGATTATAAATTAAATATGGAAGTAACAGAAAATGTTAAAACTAATACAAATAACTTGAAAAACGAATTAAATACCAGTTTTTAAAATTTTAATTTTAATGAAGATAAACCAGACATATTAATGTTTGAGCCCGACATTAGTCTTCAGTTCACAGCCTAGCTCAGACATTTCCATAAACAAACCAAGTTTTTTATTGCTGTGAGTCAATTCCAATATAAAGATAGGAAAATGACCAAACACAAATTGACAATTAATAGTATCCGGATACACTCAAGATATTTTCGAAACAGAAATCAAAATATTAAAAATAACAAATAACTGATTGTGACTGATAAAATTATCTAACATGACCAACGGTATCTCACCCATTGTGGTGGTCCTGAAAGAGTGGATACCACCTCTGGAGAACGCACTAGGTCTGCTCATCGGCAAGACCGATTGTGCAGCTCATTGGAAATAAAAAAAAAAGATTTAAAGTTTGGAAAAATAGCTAGGTCAGTTGAATTTTAAACATTAAAGACTGATTTACCTTACGTCATATAAAGTTTGAAAGCTTGCATTGGATTTCAATTAGTGATTGATTGTGTTAAGCAGGTTGTAAGGCAAAATCTGAGAAGACTGGTCACCTTTTCTGATTATAAAAGCAACTTGTCCTTACACATTTTTCCTGAAATCCTGGTTAAAGATTGCAATAAAAATAACAATAACGAAAATGAAAGTATATATAAAAATAAAGAAAGTAAGAATAAATAAAAGAGAGAAAAGAAAAAGTAAAGGAAGGAAAATAAAAAAAAATGTCAAATCGAGGAACAACAAAATAATGAAATTGTTAAATTAAATAAAATGTCGGACATAAAAATAAGTAAAAAAAATATAAACA